TTTGCATAAGAACACATATTTGTGAGTTGTATGGAGGCAGTACAAGCCCCTTTTGAAAAAAGAGGGATGTCTAGAAGCATATATGATTTGCTGTTGTCAACGGAGAACCTCTAAGGAGTGGAATGACAGTGGTTCTTGGAAAAGTGAGGGAGAAACTTTTACTTTTCACCATCCTAAGCTATCTGATTTTCTTCCTAATAAGCAAGTATTACTTTCATAATAAAAGAAAAAATTTAAAGAAGGCCCTTTGAACTTAGAAAATAATAGATGGTTTTTATAACACAAAAATGAAGTGGGTCAGGATCTGTTGGAGAGTAAAGGGAAGGCAGATGATGATTAAGGAGCTAATGATTGCCAAAGGTCACATATGTCTTCATGCTAATTGCCAAGGCAGATTCACAAAGAACTTTAGCACTGGAGAGAGTGCACCTTGAAGGCAGAAGACCAAAAAGGAGACTCTTCATATTTTGGATAACTTGTCAAACCAATGCCCAAATGCTTTGATATTCTCTCATCCCTCTGCAGTGCCTGGAATTGTCAACGCCATCGTTCTATTCATGCAAAGCATGACCAAGGGAAACCTGGTAGGCAGCTCAGATAGGAAAAGAAGTATTTTTTCCCCAAAAAACTTGGCCACAGCAAACCATTCTCTTCCGGGGATGCGTGGGGGTCGTTGGTGACAGCTGTAGCCCTTTCTGCCTGGAACCGTTCTCCCTCTGATGCGAGGCAGACTGCGTTTGCCTGGCTAATCCGGCCATACGCAGGAGAAATGAGAAAAGGCCCAGGCTACCCATATGCGCTATAGATTCTAAAAGAAGATGAGACTACCAACAGGATTTTTGCCACTGCTTTTTCTGATAATGTCAACATATCCATTATTGTTTGGTTAGTTTTCTTTGCTCTGCAGCTAAAAGGAATTTCTGCCGAGTATCTCTGAGATGCCTCGGACATCTTAAAGCACTTTTTGTAGAAGACATGATTGAGTAATTTTTTGCAGAACTTTCCTTAAAGTCATTTACTTTGTGTTGTATGAAAATATGGTTTACCTGCTTTCTCTTAACTCCCCAATGTTTCCTATTCTTATTGTTTTGTTCTAGTTAGGTTTCCCTTAGCTTCTAAAAGCCATTGTTTACACTTTCCCTAATAATAACAATAGCTAATATTTATTAGGCCTTACTATGTGCTTACTAACACTACTTTAAGTGCTTTACATAAATAAATTAATGTAATCCTCATTATAAATCCATGAAGTAGGTCCTGTCATTACCCTCCATTTGACAGATGAGGAAACTAAAGAGTGAGGAGGTGAAAGAACTCATCCAAGCAGTAGAGCCAGGATTCAAAGCAGATCTGCCCTATCCCAAAGCGTGTTCCTGTACTACAGCGCACCACAGCAAAGAGGGCCGTCTATCTCACAGGAGGCAGCAGGACAGAAACTCTGTATAAACCAAGAGAGTCCTTGTACTCTCAGCAGCCTGGGTGATCTCTTTCCTGTCCTTGACGCCAGCTCTTCTCCGGGGCATTCTCAATGCAGCTTCCTTAACACGGAGGGACTCAGAATCCTCAGCTTCTCCACCAGCGTGGCTCCAGGTCCCAGCTCCTTTCTGCCATCCTGTAGCCCAACTGATCTCTCCTTTTGCTAACAATCTTTGCATACAATTAGCACATATTTTTAAATATCCTATTATCTAATTATTTGAAATACATAATTTAATGCTTTCTTACAATCATGCCTGACTCCCAGGTTTTGAAGGTATATCAGACACATCTTCAACTTCATCTCATATCCTCTCAGCCCACATTTTATTCCAACTTTTACTACAGCAACCAGCTGTGCCCAGGTGTAACCAGACTAGGATCTTGTCTCAGCTGGACCATGAATCTATTACACTCTCTAGCCTGAGCCTCTCTGATAACCTGAGTAGATGTCTGTAGGAATCTGCAGACCACTCACACAGGCGCAAACCTAGACATTCGAGGGCATTGACATCCTTTGGGGCAACCCTGGACTAATAAGGATAGAAACTGGTCCTCTTTATGTCCCTTAATAAGGATGGAAAGAGTTGCTCTTTTAGTCCCTTGGGCAGAAAGCTCTAAGACACATTCTAAATGGCCCACAGTGATCAGCGATGACCAGTTTGCTAACATCCATCTTTATAGACTTTCTCTATAAGAAGTTCGGGAATAGGCATATGGATGGACCTATGAGGATAGGCATAAAGAGTGAGGATTTTTAAGTCTCATGTTAATATTCATGAGCATCCACCATAGTGAATCAGTGGAGCATCAACAACCAAGTAGATGGGATAACTTGTCTTCTGGAATCAGTGAGCCTCCCTCCATGGCCATTCCAGTGTTTGTGCAATTGGCCCATGAATGGTATGGCCATGGTGACAGAGTAGAGACTAGGCATAGACACAGCCATGTCAACTCTCTCTCACCAAGGCTGATATAGCTCCTGCAACTGCTGACTAGCCTTCCTGCCAGCAGCACTGAATGGCATAGATAAGTCACTATCCTCAAGGAAACTAGCCAGGCACTTGGTGACAAGTTGCTTACATCAGACCTAATTCCATTACTGGAAATGACCACTACTTTGGCTATGGCTTTGCTTTCCCCAACCTCAGTGCTGTGGGAGCTCCACCATCCGAGGACCCAGGGATTCAAGGGGGCATCTCTTGGTGATAACTCCAATGCCCAGTGATAACTGTAAACAGGCAACTGCAGCAAACTTATAGCCCAGAGGGGCTAAAGCAACCCAGACCCCTGGGGTCAAGGTCCAAGTCACTCCTATATGACTCTTAGATTGCTGGTAGGAAACCTGGATCAGCTGAAGTGTTGGCAAAGGATGAGGCAAATCTAGAATGCATGGTGGAAGATGAAGGTGACAAATACCAATTATGGTGTTAGGATCAGTTTTAGGAGTTGGGACAGGACTCAATGTATTAACCTTAGTGTATTAAGTCTTAAAGTCTCCATGAAGAAAAATAAAGCCAAGTAGGGAGATAGAAAATAGCAGGATTGGTTGACTATTTAAAAAGGGTGGTCAAGGAAGTTGTCTCTGATTAGGTGACATTTCACCAGAAATCAAAATGAAATAAAGGAGCAAATCATATGGATACATGAGCCAAGAACACCCTAGAAAGAGAAAGTAGCAATCCAGAGGTTCCAGTGCAAGAGCATGCTTGATGTGTTTGAGGGGGCTAGTGTGGTGTTATTCTTCCTCAGGGCTGACTTTAAGCTATTCCTGAGCTAAAAACTTACTCTTCTACTTCTTGTAAGTCTTTCATAATGCATAACACAGCCCAATAGATCTAGTGGTGGATGTTCAGAAAATGCCTGTGATTTTCTAATGTAAATACCTATGTAGTCTTCACTGATAATTCATAGAAATAATGTATCTCCACTGAAAAATATAAATGACATGTGGTTACAAGATCGGGCCTATTGCTTTAACCCAGGTACCCTGATCACGAGCTAGGAGGTGTGCTCCTCACTGCACACACATCTCCTCTTTTAATTCTCTTACAAACCCTGGCAGGTGGGATTATTCTGTATAAGTTTACAGATAAAGAAACAGAGACCGGGAGCGGTGGGTGAGTAAATCTTCAATGGTCATTACAGGGGAAGGGACAGAGCTCTGCATTTGAACCAAGAGCTGTTCCACAGCCTACGCTCAACAACAACTCTGAAAGACTCACCCGCATTCTTTGGTGGCCTAATCTTATTTTTATGAGCTTTCATACTCTTCTGACTATGAAAAATAACTAACATTAACAGGAAGAGCTGATTTTTTTAAGCCTCATTTGCCTGGAGGAATATAATTAAGGCAGTGATTCTATTTGTTCATTAAGACGCCTAAGTTAGAATGATCCTTTTGCTCTTGGAAAATCATTTGGTCCAATGACAAGAATGGGTAGGCATTTCACTCTGAGCTTCTTTGATGATGTCTGCTGTGGTTTTCCCGCTGTGTTACTTTTTTTCCCCAGAAAGTCATAGTACTGCTTTATTCCTACTTTAAAAAATCATTAGTGTAGTTGCATCACAGAAGAGGGAAAAAAAACAGATGTGTGAGCTGCCCGTGAAATAGAGTAGTTTGCCCCACACGAGCGCAGCCCTTTTCATGTGCTGGCTGCAAGCCTGTCCTCATGCTGGGGTGGAGAAGCTCATTACTGCTCAGAGTAACCAAGAAACAGAGTAGGCAAAGGGAGAGGAAGACCAAAGGCCCAGAGTGCCCCCATCAAATTGGATCCTGGAAAGTCTGACACTGGGGCAGCTACTGGAGTCACTCGGCAGCCACTTGCTTGGGCTTTTTATAATGAAACTGCAGGGATAAAGGAGGTCGTTCTGGTGGACGGGAGCATTGCTCAGTATTTGCCAATGGATAGGAGGGTCATGAGGTTGGTGGCCATGTAGGATTATGGATGCAAAAGTAGCAGATACTTATTTGTCCAGCCTGTTAATATCCAGTTTTGATGTCTTGCTAAATCTGCAGCTTTCCTGGAAGCATAATGAAGTGTCTATAACTTAGAAAATCTTTCAAGCCTTGGACACTGCACCTCCCCTTCACTCTTTCTTTCTGCATCTATCTTCTTGGCCACCCTCACTGTTTGCTTTGATGAACTTCTGCCACTGGAGCTGGTGTGCCCTGCCTAAATGGCATTTCAGCATGGATTTCCCCAGGTGCCTAGCATCCTTGCCTAGATTAACGTGTCAGTGGCATATGGTGCAAATGGCCTGTTGTTCAGTCTCAGAATCAGTTTACAATATCTGCCAGGCTGCTGACTTCTTTGGCATAATGCCTATGGCCCCAGTGTTTGAGGAAGGAGAGCAACATTGTCTGAAAATTATTTAGAGTGAATTTTCTTGCATAAGAGCCAGAATCTGGCTTCCTGCCTCTCCTCATTTCTCTCTCTCTCTCATACCCCCACCTCTCTCTCTCTCTCTCTCTCTCTCTCTCTCTCTCTCTCTCTCTCTCTCTCTCTCTCTCTCTCTCTCTCTCTCTCTCTTTCTCTCTGCCTCTCTCCCCACCCCATATCTGAACAAAAAAAAGAAGCATATATTCTGAGGTTGACTGCCTAAGACCAAGGTTGACTGCCTAAGACCATCATTTCTGGAAACAGCTTTCTTGTATTAGTTCCTTCACTGGCCCTACATCTTGCTCTTTTTCCAAAAAGAAAAGTACCTAGCTTGTGCTTTTCAAACACTGTTACATTCAATTCTCTTAAAAACCTTGTGCGGGTATTATCTCCATCTTGAAGACAAGAAAACTGAGGCTCAGAGAGTTTTAAATGTGTCCAAAGCATGTTACAAAGAAGTGGAAGAATAACAATTCAAACCTCGGTCTATCTGATTCCACGGTCCAAATTCTTTTCACTCTAAGTCCATGCATTGACCATTGTCTGAACTGATGTTGTGCCCACATCCACGTGTCTCTGGGAGGGGCAGAGATATTTACTGCAGTTCAATGGGCAGAGCTGCCAGTGGTCTGCATCTCTGTGGGCATTGTCAGCAAGTGCTCCTGGATTCTTCTTGTACAGAGTCCTCATCATGCTCTTCTCTCGGTGTGTTTAATGGTGGGTCATTGTTACTGTTTAGTTACCTGATGTGTTTCTTGCTCCTAAGTCCATGTGATGAAGCAGATCCTGCTGTCCCTGGGATTATCTTCTCTTGATGAGTCATGACCTCAGGATCGCAGGCAGCCGACCTGCAGGCACAGAGAGGGTAATGTCAAAGGTTCCTCCAGCTCAATTTGGATTGATGAACCAGAATAATTCTGGCAGCAGGACTCATGGAATTAGCCTCAACTGGTGATCTTTTTCCAGAACTGCTCTTTCTCAATTTTTGTGTTGGAGGTGGAGTGTTTTTGCCTATTTCCCACTCATGCCCTCTCTTTTCCTCTATAGATATTTGAAAAGCACCCGCACTCTCATCTATTGCCTGGACTAGTTGACTCCACAACTGTCACTGGGTGGACTGTATCTACTGGCTACCCATTCCCACCCTGATGCTTTACTTTGCAAGAATCTTTCACTTAAAATGCCTTCTGATTCTTCATTCTGTCACCAAACTCTATGCCCTATTCAATTCATTTCCTTCAAGAAATCTCCCACCAAATTGGTCTACCCAACTAACAGCTTCTTTATTTCAAATTCCTTACAATGATAGTAATAACAAAATTTCTTAAAAATTACATAATTGCTTATCTCAGTAAGTAATATCATATGGCCGTGCATTTAGATGGACACAAGGCTACAAATAAAGTGAAAAGTTAAAGTCTTCCTCGTGCCCCCTCCCAGTTCCTGCCTCAGAGGTGCTTTTTGACCAGTTCCTTCTGCCTCCTCCTGAGCCTTCCAGAGATATCTTTCTATGTACAGGTGTATATGCTTTTTTTTATTTAATTTTTTTCTATTTTTAGTAGAGATGGAGTCTCGCTCTTGTTCAGGCTGGTTTCAAACTCTTGACCTTGAGCAATCCACTTGCCTCGGCCTCCCAGAGTGCTAGGATTACAGGCATGAGCCACCACGCCCAGCCCAGGTGTATATGCTTTTAAAAAAGACATCAGCAACATATGAGAATAACCATTAACATATACTAGCAATTATGTAAGAGATCCCATGCCAAGCACCTTATATGTATTATTTCATGGAATCCTCTCAACAATTTTATAAGGTGGACCCTCACATTATCCACATTTTACAACTGAGGAAATAGAGGCTCAGAAAGTCAAGGCTCTTACCCCTGATCACAGAGCTATGATGTGGCAGAGCTGGAAGCTGACCCCAGGCTGTCTGACTGCAAGTCTTATCCACCATGTTACAGGCCTTAAAATGACTCTTAATTGACTCATATCTATACATCTGGTTTCCCAGCTAGATCAAAGGCTACTTAGGAAGTAAAGAAGCAGTATAGGGTATGGGAATGGACCTGCACTTGGGAATCAAATCCTGGCTTTGAAACTTACTAGCTTGTGGCTCCAGGTAAGTTCCCGAAACTGTCTGAACTTCCATTCCTTTATCTGTAAAGGTAAGAAAATGCCAACTCCATTAGCGTTAGAGTGAGGCAGGAGTGCTGTGAGGATGGGACGAATAAAGAATGTAAAGTGGTAGGCACATTAGATGTATTAAAAAATGTAGTTACTTTATCAAGAGCCATGTCTTTTTAAGAATGCATTTGCCTACTTCAGCTGCCCTGTGCAGAGTGGGAAGGTATATGGGAAATACCCATGTGGTGTTTGGCATAATATAGACCTAACCTTTCTTTTTTTTTTTTTTTTTTTTTGAGACAGAGTCTCGCTTTGTTGCACAGGCTAGAGTGAGTGCCGTGGCGTCAGCCTAGCTCACAGCAACCTCCCACTCCTGGGCTCAAGCGATCCTGCTGCCTCAGCCTCCCGAGTAGCTGGGAATACAGGCATGCGCCACCACGCCCGGCTAATTTTATATATATATATTAGTTGGCCAATTAATTTCTTTCTATTTATAGTAGAGACGGGGTCTTGCTCTTGCTCAGGCTGGTTTCGAACTCCTGACCTCGAGCAATCCGCCCGCCTCGACCTCCCAGAGTGCTAGGATTACAGGCTTGAGCCACCGCGCCCAGCCATAGACCTAACCTTTCTGATGGCAGGAAAATACCACACGGAGGTCCCTGAAAGTAAGCACAAGGCAACAGGCTCTTGCATAGGGCCCATAAGGCTAGCTCAAGAGGGGACAGTCAGTCATCTGTTGACTGTTCAAAGATATGTATGGAATAGCATGGAAGACTAGCCTAAAGGTCATACATATTATAAATCTCCTCTGGGGTTAACAAGCATAAATGGATTGTAGAGGAAAGGGAAGACTGAGGAAACACTGTTAGGAATTTTGCCTGGAATTTTCATCCCCCAGATACTCTCATGGTAACTCCTTTACCTCCTCCAAGTCACATTCCCAGGGATCTCTCCACATCTGCAACCTGCCACCAGCCCTATTTTATTCTTAGTTTATTCATAACACTTTGTACCTTCATTTATATAATATAATTATCCCATCTGTTCGATTTGTTTTTATAGTCTCACTCTAGAATGTAAGCTCTCTAAGGGCAGGTGTCTTCGTATTTTTCACTGATGTATCCTAAGCAATTAGAACAATGCCTGGCGCATGGTAAATGCTCAATAAACTTCTGTTAGAGGAATACATTTTCTGATAAGGAAACAGGTTAAGTGACTTAGCCTAGATAATTGTGTTAGTTAACAGCGGAGTCCAAGCTAGAACTCAGTTTTTCTGTCTCCCAAACCAATTCTATTAAGTCATATTTTTAAGGATAGAGGATATAAATCTAGGACTGGAGAATGATTTATCTGTTGAGGAATTTAGAAAAAACTGGAAATGAGTGTATAGAGACAAAATAACTAAACCATGAAAGTGACAGCAGGGAAAAAAAACCCATAGATGTTGGTGGTAGTGTTGATTTTTTTCAAAATTTTGTTTAAGTACCTGAGACTCTGCTGTCAGTTTATCTAGTGAAATAAGATTCATGATCAATGTGCAGAGACGGAAATTTCAGACCTCATTATACACAAACTGAAGATTCTTCCTTTGCTGTCACTGTGGCATTTGACACGCCAGTGAAAACAAAAGGAAATCTGTCTCAGATGCCCCTTTTAGCTTTGACAGATGTGGAAATGCATGAGTTTGGGGCGTTAATTTTTGGCTGAGTGTTAAATGTGAGCATGTCCAGAGATAGATACAGCTGGAGAAACTACCACCTCGCTCACAGTGTAGGGCCGAAGCCCCAGTGCTGCGCTAAATTACAGTCCAGGACGTCCTACTCCCATTCTCACTTCATTCTCTCATCTCATGCTCTCTGCCTCTTCCACCTGAGATTTTGGTTACATCCTTTTCTCCCAGCACTTATTCCCTCCTTCTTGAATCTTACATCTGCCTTTTCCTCACACATGCAAATCTGCTCAAATCTCCTCCATGCCAATGCAAAATAATAACCTTCCAACAATCTCTTGAATCAGTTAGCTATTATGTATAGCAAAACACCCCAAAACAGTGGCTTAAAACAGTAAGTATTTTGACTACTCACAAGTTGATGAGTCACCTGGGCAATTCTCTTGGTCTGGGCCAGCCTGGGCTGATTTCAGCGGGGCCTGAAATACTGACCGCACACCCTCAAGAGGGTGCAGTCCGCTGGTGGGCTGGCTGGGCAGCTTGGCCAAGGATGGTCTCGCTCACAGGCCTGGCAATTAGCAGGTTATTAGTCATGGTGAAGTGGGGGCTGGACCACCAATCCCTTATCATCCAGCAAGTTAGCTCAGGCTCCTTCTCAGGGTAGCTGGGCAGGATTTCAAGAGACAGAAAGAGCAAGGAGAATACACAAGGCCCGGAATACACAGTATCACTTCTGCCTCATTTTATTGGCAAAAGCAAGTCATGAGGCCAACCCAGGGGCAAGGACATAGACTCTACTTTTTGATGGGAAGAGCTGTAAAGTCACATTGCAAACGGTGTGGATTCAGGGAGGGATAAAAAATTAGGGTCAGTTTTACAATCATTCTACGATCTCTTTCTTCATCCTTAAAGGCTTCTGCCCAGGTGTCTCCTTTCCTTCATATCCAGACTTTCAGAGAGTTGTCTCTTGCCTTCCTACTTCCTTACCAACCAGTCACTCCTCACCCAGGATGACCTCACCTTAATACCACTATCTCCATTTTGATGAAACTATTCTCTTTAAAGACAACGATGGCTCAAATATCAAATACTAGGAACTACTTTCAGCTTTCATCTCACTAACCTCACTGCACAATTTGATCTATATGGTAATTCCATCCAGCTTAAAACTCTCCACCCTGAATGTCTATGATTCACTCTCTCCAGCTCTCCTTCTACCCCTCTGACCATTCCCACTCACATTCCCTGGCTGGCTGGTGTCTGTCCTCTCGCCTGTCAATGTTAGTGGCCCCTACATTTCTTTTCTTTTTTTTTTGGAAACAGAGTCTCACTTTGTTGCCCAGGCTAGAGTGAGTGCCATGGCATCAGCCTAGCTCACAGCAACCTCAATTTCCTGGGCTTAAGTGATCCTACTGCCTCAGCCTCCCGAGTAGCTGGGACTACAGGCATGCGCCACCATGCCCTGCTAATTTTTTCTATATATATTTTTTAGTTGGTCAATTAATTTCTTTCTATTTTTCATAGAGACGGGGTCTCGCTCAGGCCGGTTTTGAACTCCTGACCTTGAGCAATCCACCCTCCTTGGCCTTCCAGAGTGCTAGGATTACAGCACTGGCTCATTTCTGCCAAGATAAAATCTAAACTCTTTGTATTAGCTATTGATCATTTGTTGTGCAAAAATTAAATGTACCCCATCTTATTTAACAGAAAGATTTATTATAAGGAAACAGGGAACTCTCATTAGCAAGTAGTGCCAGGCAGCCAGGGAGTTGTCAGGGATGGAGTCCCATGTTTGCTGGCTCCTCTCTCACTGCCTTCCCCGTCTCATCTCTGCTTCTTTCTGTGACTTTTCCCCTTTCTTCTGGAGGCTCCTCCATGCTGCCCCTCTCTGCATGTTCATCAATGCACGTGGCCCCCACAGCCATTCTAAGATAAGCCCACCTAACCTTCGTATCTCTTAGAACAAATTATTGAGAAAGAAAATCTGATTGGCTTAGTTCATGGGTCAAATGCTCAATCAGCTGTGACCATGAAGGGGTAAGGTCATGTAGACAAAACATGACAGCCTGTGGTTCACATCTTCAATAAGAGCTGGGAAGAGGAATGTTCTCAGAGAAGACAATGTGGGCTGGGCAGGCAACTCAGACAGGTCTACTATACTCCTTAACATGTCATATGGTATTTTTCTAGTGTCAACTCCCACCCCTTCTCCCACTGCAATGGACTATCCACTCCAACTACATACAACTACTTCCCATTGCCTAAACATGCCATGCTCTTTTGCATATGCTACTCCTAAAACCTGCAATATTATTCTTTTCCTTAATTTCCTAGAAATATCTTCCTTATCCTTAATAACCAGTTCAAAAGTCACCTCCTCAGTGACGTCTCCCTTGTCTCTGTTAGTTGCTCTCTCCTCTAGGAACTCTATGCTTTGCATAGAGTTCTCTTAGAGTCTATATCACACCAATTAAAATTGTTTGACCCCTTTGCTAGATGATGAACTTTTTCGATTGTTTTTCGCAGGGACCATCCCCAGCATCTGATATAGTGTTTGGCACATAGTTATAGTTGAATGGATAAAGATGTGAATGAACAGAGTCTCTAAACCTACTACTTCTTGAAGTGTAGCATCAGCATAATCTGAGAACTTGTCATAAATGAAAATTCTTGGGCCTCTGCACAGAGCTACTGAATCAAAAACTCTGATAATAGGTGTAGTAGGCAGAGTACTGCCCCCTCTCCCAACATGTCCACGTCCTAATCCCTGGAACCCATAGATACGTGATGTTGCATGGTAGAGGGAATTAGGATTGCTAATCAGCTGATTTTAAAATAAAGAGATTATCCTGGGCTATCCAGGTGGGACCAATGTTATCAAAAGTATCCTTAAATGGGGAAGAGTCAAAACCAGAGAAATATCATCATGAGGAAGACTTGAACAGCCGTTGCTGGCTTTCAGGATGGAAGGGAGCCACTAGCCAAGGAATGTAGGCAGCCTCTAGAAGCTGGAAAAGGCAAGAAAACAGATTCACCCCTCCTCCCCCCGCCCCACCCAAAGCTTCCAGAAAGGAACTCAGTCCTACAAAAACCTTGATTTTTGTCCAGTGAGACCCATTTGGACTTCTGATCTTCACAGCAGTAAGATAAATTTCTGCTGTGTTAAGCCACTCAGTCTGTGGTAATTTGTTACAGCAGCAACAAGAAACTAATACAGTAGAGTCCAGCAGTCTGTGTTTCAACAAGTCCTAGAGGCGATTCTGAAATTTCCTCCCAGTATGCACCCTAACACCTGGTATTACACCTACTACAATCTTCATCCTTCTGTCTTGCATTTAGCTGTTTCACTATCTCTGTGTGTTCACTGCTGTATCCTAGCACAGTGTTGGCATCAGTAGTAGTAACAGCAGTAGTAGTAGCAGCAAGTGCAGCAGCAGCTGATACTTATTGAGAATGTCTATGTGTGAAGTGCTGTTCTAAGAACTTCACATGACTTAATTCAGTCCTTGTAACAACCCTGTGAAGTAGGTAATATTACTATCCCACATTTTATAGATAAGGAAACTGATGCCTGGAGAACAAAAGCAACTTGCCCAAGATCTCCCAGCTAGTAAGTGCAAGGGCCAGGACTTGAACTCAGTCTCACCCAGAGTCCATGTTCTGACCCCTGTCCTATGTGGTCCATAGGCAGGGTGCAATATGTATTTGACTGGTGATTGAATTAATAAGTGGATGAACAGTAAACCAGTCTCACCTGAGGACTTTAGAAGCATGTGTAAGAAGCAACAGTGGAGATGATTCAGTGGTGGGGGAGAAGGCACACTTTTTATTCATGTGGATGTTGGATGAAGGACACAGAAAAGCAATTAGGACTGGAGCAGAAAGTTGGACTGGCTAAAGACAGCAGAGGATGAGAGTGGAGAGAGTGCACCTTGGGTGGGGATTGTGGTTCCCAGGAATGAGAGGGGCAAGAGTTGAAAAGTAACAGGAGAAGCAAGTCTGGAACTATGTGAACCACATTATTATCAATCTCTAGCCTGGAAGCTTGGAGACCCAGAGCCTGAATCATCAATATATATTTGTTGAATGAGAGAGAATTTTGGCGTGAAATGTTCTGGGCTCTTCAGGCATTTGTTTCAAGGTGTCTGAGGAAGATCTCTGATTATATTCACCAGAACTCTCAGCTATGATGCAGATGATGTGAGGGGAAAGGCTGAGCCAATAATCAATGAACTGGAGGAGACAGAGGCTTGGGGAGTATAGACAGAATAGGTTCTGCCAAGTGGTCAAGACCGGGTGTGCAAGGAATGTGGCCGTTTCCAGACAGCGACTAGGAAACAGGGGTGCTTGGGGACCTAGCTAAATAAGGGAACTCGGGCATTTATTTAGTGCCCATTGTGTGCCAGGCATGGAAGTTGGTGCTTTTCCCTCATTGAGTTCATTGAAGCAAAATGCCCCAATATGTGGACAAAGCACAGGAAGAGGAAACCAAGGGAAGATGCTTGGACCCAAGTCAGCAGACAGGGCTGGGGCCATCATTCCACAGGGGACAGGCTCGGCCTGTGGGGTTGGGACTATGGCAGGGTCCAGCTCTTGGGTCGAGAACCGGTTAATTTGTTATACAGACTTAATTCCTAAAATACCTATTTTCATAAATTTTAGTTTCTTTTTTTTTTAAGGCATGAAAAGAGAAAGGCATTGTTTCATTTTTAAGATAAGGTCCCAGTCCAACTACTATATAAATTGGGAAACCCATTTTAAGTGGATTCACTTTAAGTGACCTTTTTCCAGTATCAGATTTCCTCCAATTCTGTGCAGAGAACTTGCCTCAAGCCGCCTTGGCTCTATGTACCATGGCAGGTAGAGAGATCAGTGGGCCCCCCTCCTGGGAAGCCAGGGGAGAAGAAGTGGGTTTGAGTTAGCTGCAAAAGGCCTAGAACTCAGTGCTGCATGGCCCCACAATGGTGCTGTGGAAAGAGGACAGTCTTTGGTGCTAAATGGTCATAGATTCTAAATCCCACTCAATGGTTATATGGTATCCAGCAAGTTACTCTAGTTTTCTGAGCCTCAGTTTCCTCAGTTGTACCATGAGCTACTAATCTCACCTTACTGAGTTGTTTTAAGGCTCACAGGTGTAAAGCAGTGGCCAATGTGAGTTTTCAACTGAGGATGTTGCTCCTACCATGAGACCCACTTTTTATTAATGTGAAAAAGATTATGAAAAGAATCATAAAAAACGAAATGAGAAGAAGCAATGTTTAAAGTTTCACCGTTTCACGCCTTTCTTTCTTCTTCAGATCCTTCACCTTTCCATTTACTCCTCTCCATGTGCAGTCCCTTTTTTTATATCCCTGTGCCTGGGATGAAAAACAGGTTTCTTCTTGAATGCCATCCCCAGTGAACTGCTGGGAACCCTTGAGAAGCATTCTGCCACTGAATCAGGCTCATCACAAAATAGTGCCATGACCAATTGCTGATGTCTGCTTAGGAGAGGTAGGTGGCACCACTATTGCCCACTTTTTATCAACTCTGCTATATCTTTCTCCTAAATACACTCATTATATTCTCATTTCCCACTTCCCAGACAAGTCAGCTTTCTAAAAGCGCAGAGCCTGAGTACAATCCAGAGCTCACAAACCCCTAATAACTTTTCAGCTCTTTCAGTGTTAAATTCAGTGGTGTGTAGTTGGAGTTCAGAGAGGTTACATTATCTGATGTAGATCACACAGGGAGTAAGCACGAGAGCCAAGGCTGAAAGCCAGCTCCCTCTGACTTTGAAGCTAGTGCTCTTTCCTTAGAAGGCTGCCTCCTCTTCAGTGGCAACAGTTTTCTAAGTAGGTCTGGGTCCATGAGTAACCCAGGGCTTGCTCCAAGGATAGAGATAGAGTACCCTTTCCTGGAAATGCCATGTATAGGAACAATTCACTACAGGACACTATGAATTCATATTGGGAGGGGCTGAAGTATGGAACAGCATCAGCCGGAAGATGTAGAGAATAGCAGTGAGGAAGAAGTGCTTTGTAGCTAGACCAGGTCAGAATCTACTTACCAGCTGGATAACCTTGGCAAGTTCCTCAACCTCCCTCTAACTCGATTTCCCTGTAAATTAGGAATAAAACAAACATTACCAACTTCACATGGCTGTGTGTGTATCAGGTGGTGAGAACGTTTATAAAGTGCTCAGTACAGGGCATAGCACATAACAAGTGCTCAATATATATATTATATAATATATATGTAAAATATATATTATATACACATAACTTATAACATATTACATACACAAATATATATAATATATATTATTACACAAATATATATAATATATACACATATTATATACACAAATATATATAATATATATTATATACACATATATAACTCACATAACTCATAACACACATAACTCATTCTAAGGAGAGTGTGAGAGGCTCTGCCCTCACCAGCACATGGGGAAACGTGTGCTGGAACGTACAACCTGAACAGAAACTAGGTGGAAGAAATATAGGCCAGTGTAATAGAATAATCACATGACAAATTTGCACATGCTTATTCTTTTCACTCCATCAGGGAAATTCAGGCAATTAATGTTTGAAACAGAATCTGAAGCAAATTGGAATAGAGTCAAGCGTTCCCTCCTATTCATGTCATGTCATGTGATCCCACAGTCCCCAGCGCCATTTTGGCTGCTTTACGACTGTGCCCAGAGCACCTCCTTAAAACTCTCCTAGCAATCGTCTTACCACTCAGGAGGAACTGTTTCCTTCTCCCTTCCTGTGAAGTCATTCCAGGAAGGAATGGAAATACTCAAATAAACAACCCTGGAGTATAATTAATGATGGTCCTTCCTCAGTTTCCTACTTTGTTTTACGCTTTAATGATATCCTACCATGCAGAGAAATCACTGGATGGAAATACCTGGTCCCCTCCCCTGACACCAGGCTTTGTTTGTTCCATTTTCTCCTTCCTCAGAGGCAGGCAGCAGAAAACTTTCAGCAGAAAGTTGAATTAGTGTGAAAGTCATCACACTTTCCTCCAGCACTTTGGCCTCCCTAAAGTCCTTTCAATGTGGGTTGTTTTTGTGTGGGTACCTCTGTCCATGAAACTAGAGGAAAAATATTTTTATTTGAAGAGAATTGGAATCAATTGGCCCAGAAGTCTTAGTCTTAGTCTTACAAGAAGTAAGAGACAGCGACTTGGAGACTCTATAGGCAAGCAGTGACTTAGTGATTCAAGAGGCATCTTTCTCTTCTTGCTGGCCTGTCAGTTGTCGCAGGCTTTCTGCATTGCAGCACCTTGTGTTCCTTAGTAAAATAAGTCTTTTCCTTTGGAATTTTCAATTCCCCATTAATTGGTGACAGTGCTATCAGAGCCCCCTTCACAACCCTACAATCAGGGCCATATCCCTATTTCTGTCTCAATTCTTAGTGCGTTCTCCTAACTCCAAGCCACCAAGAAAGTCAGAATCTGGGCCGGGCGCTGTGGCTCACGCCTGTAATCCTAGCTCTCTGGGAGGCCGAGGCGGGTGGATCGTTGGAGCTCAGAAGTTCAAGACCAGCCTGAGCAAGAGCCGAGACCCCGTCTCTACTAAAAATAAAAAATAAAAAAAAAAGTTAATTGGCCAACTGAAAATGGAAAAAAAAATAAAGGAATAAAAAAAAATTAAAAAAAAAAAAGAAAGTCAGAATCTGTACCAAGGCTGTCTCCAGGGTACTTGTGAAAATACATTTAGCCTGTTCTCCTTCCTCTGAGCTGCCTGCCTTTGATATGAGGTCTATCTTCTAGTAGGCTTTGTGTAAGGCACAGACTCTTTCTGGGGGCATTCTTTGCCTTAAAAAAAAAAGATGTATTATCAGTGAGTATCAATTATAATGAGGCATTTTTAGTGGGGCTTGATAACGCTGGAACCAGGAAACAGTGGCCTCTGAGCTGAGATCCTGGCAGCTGCATTTTATTAACCCGAGTCAGGGTGTTAAGCTGATTTTCAGACTTGATTGACAGAACCCTTTCAGCACGAGCCCTGGAAAACTATTAGGAGGAAAGAATCCCATCGAGGCATTCTGCCTGTAATAGTTTTAATGCAGAAATGCATTTGATCAGCAGCACGCTGAGCTCATATCATTTCCAGAGTGAGTAGCAATGTGGTTCCAGTGTCATTTACCACACCAATTATGGTCCATCCTGACAACATTTAAACCAGAATTGGATTAAGAAAAATGTATCTCAAGATTGTTGTCCAAGAGGCAAAATCCCAAAATTTTTAGTGGATCTCATTCCCCATCTCTTTCATAATGACAAGACTAAGTTGAAGAAGAAGAAAAGGGAAAAACAACAACAACACATTTTTAGGGACAAGAAGTTAAAAGCATAAAAAAGCAGGATACAATTATGATCCGATGGCCCTCATTTTCTCCAGGACACTTTTCCACTGCTGCAAATCTTCTCTTAAATACATGAGTTGGACAGTCTTTCTTTAGGCACCAGATTCACTTCCCAAAATCAGAGAATGCATTTCCTAGACCTCTTCACCAAACTCATCCCCTGCAAAAAGCAGAGTTCTAATAAGTAAAAATCCCAGTGATATAAAACATCAGCTATAAAACCACTATTGTGTTCATACGGTTCTACTCCAGTAGATCAGTATTGGCTGATCTCATGCGCCAACAAAGAGATGTCTTTTAGATATTTTATATCTTAAGAGGATCAGATAGCCATTGCTATCTTCTGAACTAACCATCCACAAATTTCTTTGGGATGGTACAGTGGAGATACTTGCCTAGGAAATCAAATATCAATTTGTTTCTATTTTTTTATAATAACTTTATTGGGTTACCGGATTATAAATGTAATGCCTGTTCAAGCCAAGTGCAGTGGCTCTCGCCTATAATCCCAGCATGTTGGTAGGCTAAGGCAGGAGGATCACTTCAGGTCAGGAGTTCAAGACCAGCCTGGGGAACATAGTGAGACCCCCGTCTCTACAACAAATAAGAAATGAGCTGGGTGTGGTGTTGTACACCCGTAGCGTCAGCTACTCAGGAGGTTGAGGAAGGAAGATCACTTGAGCCCAGGAATTTGATCTTACAGTGAGCTGTGATTGGGCCACTGCACTCCAGCCTGGGCAACAAAGTGAGATCTGATATCTAAAAAAATAAAAGTAATATGTGTTCATTGCAAAAAAAAATCAGAAAATATTAGAGAAAGCCATGAAAAATAAATGTATCATCCAGAGAGGAGCACTGTTAATATTCTGGCATCACCCACACACTTATTTATTTATTTATTTGTTTATTTATTTATTTATTTATTTATTTATTTATTTATTTATTTATGTTTGAGACAGAGTGTCACTCTGTTGCCTGGGCTAGAGTGCCGTGGCATCAGCCTAGCTCACAGCAACCTCAAACTCCTGGGCTCAAGCGATCCTCCTGCCTCAGCCTCCCGAGTAGCTGAGACTACAGGCATGCAGCACCATGCCCGGCTAATTTTTTCTGTTTTTGGTAGAGATGGGGTCCTGCTCTTGCTCAGACTAGTCTCAAACTCCTGAGCTCAAACGATCTGCCCGCCTCAGCCTCCCAGAGTGCTAGGATTACAGGCGTGAGCCACCGCACCTGGCCTCACACACATTTTTAGATAACACATGCCTTAGTACAAACTTTTGTCATTCAGCAATACATTGTGAACATTTTCCCATGTCAATAAATATGGATCTACATCTATTGTAGATATTATTGTGTCATCATTATTTTAACTAGTCCTCTTCTAATGAACATTTAGGCTCTCCTTCGCCCCTTTTGTTCCTCTTTTAAATAATATGCTAGAATCTCCCTGTACATCAACAACTCTCAAGCTTCAGTGTAACTAAGAATTATCTCAGGTATTTTAAAAATATGGGTGCATGAGCTGCACATATTCAATTAGAAAGGCATAAGACCCAGGAATCTGCATTTTATCAAGCACTACAGGTGATATTGATGCTGCTAGTCCTCAAACCACACTTAATATATCTTTGCAAACTTATCTAATGATTTCCTTAAGATAAAGTTCTAGAACTGCAGTTGTTATTTTGGCAAAGGCTATGCAGTGCAGCATTTAGACAATCTACCTTGTTTGTAGTTATCTTGGTGATTAAAAAGATTGGGTGATAAAGGTAGGTGTATGCTGTAAGGTAGGAAATATGTTTGAGGCATGAATAAACAGGGTAAGTTCCATCAAGAAACCTCAGAACCAGCCCTTCGAGTGTCTGTGGGATGTATAAGTCCTCTTCAAGCAACCTCTTGGCTCTCTATGGAAGGCTGGCAATGAGAAGAGTTGAGCAGAGAAAGGGGCAAAGGCATAGGTGGGAGTGAGTTCAACACGTTGGCTGGAGAAGTTGGTTCCTATGAGGGGAGGATGCCGGCTATTGCCAATGACACAGGGGCTTGCTACCAACAAGGGGTGACCAAATGAGACAGCCCCCTCCCCAAGCTCACATGTATAAAATTTGCACTTGACTAGCATGTGTTCCCAGCCCAGATTTTCCAAGAGTTTGAAAGGCGAGAATAAAAGAACACAGGTATTTCTCCATTTCCATGTTCAAGTAAGCAAACACACACTCACCCACATGGACGAAGGCAGATACATATTCCCCTGCTTATAATCTCCAAACTCCAGGCACAGGGCTTTCAACTATAAACTTCACATAAAGAATAATTTTGCGTAAGGCCACAAAAAGTATGGAAATTGAACAGTATTAATAGAAGTATTAATCTAAGTATTAATAGAACTCCAATTTAAATCATGTTAGGAAAACAATTTTGACCTTTTTTTTTTTTTGGTAAATGCTATTGAAATATGACACGTGTACAAGAAAGTGTTCAAATTAAAAGTTTACAAGCTCAACAAATTTTCACAAGGTGAATACACCAATGTAACCAGCATTCCAATCAAGAAATAGCCTGATGGCCAGGCGCAGTGGCTCACACCTGTAATCCTAGCACTCTGGGAGGCCGAGGCGGGCGGATTGCTCAAGGTCAGGAGTTCAAAACCAGCCTAAGCAAGAGCGAGACCCCATCTCTACTATAAATAGAAAGAAATTAATTGGCCAACTAATATATATGGAAAAAATTAGCCGGGCATGGTGGCACATGCCTGTAGTCCCAGCTACTCGGGAGGCTGAGGCAGCAGGATTGCTTGAGCCCAGGAGTGGGAGGTTGCTGTGAGCTAGGCTGACGCCATGGCACTCACTCTAGCCTGGGCAACAAAGCGAGACTCTGTCTCAAAAAAAAAAAAAAATAGCCTGATCCCAGAAGTTCCCTGGTACCTGCTTACAGTCATTCTCCCCAAGGGGAGCCATCATCCTGATTTCTAACAGTTCCCATAGGTTTGACTTATTTTTGAGTTTTATGTAAATGGAATCATAATAGATGAGCTCTTTTCTTTCAAAAAATTTTGGATAGATTTATAGATCATTAGTTTAAGTCTTCATAACATGTGCAGACATATCCCAATATTGAAGCAAAGCTATCCCCCAAAAAGAAATTTTAAGGTATATGCTTCAAATAACTCAGTGTCCATTTGAGCCATAAAAACTGGATAGCTTCATATAAGTTGAGCCCAGGTGAGTCCCTGGGGCCCTTGTACCTGTCCATAGTAAGGTAATAAAGATCCTAAAAGGCTACTCCCCAGTGTATATGACAGATAACTTGAGAGGCAGTATAATGTAGTGGGAAAAAAGATTAGCTTTGGAACCATAAAGAACTGAGTTCAAATAGAATCATTTCCACTTACCAGCCATACTATCTTCATGAAGTCACATAATCTCTCTAGGGCTCAGTTACTTCTACACCTGTAAAATGGGGAACTATCTCATTGGGTTGTTGTGAAAATTAAATAAGATCGCAAATATAAACCACTTGGCATTTGATAGGTGCTCCCTAAATATTCCTTCTCTTTCTCCTCCAAGACTAAACCTTGATTCTTCATCAAATTCAGCCCCTGTATGCATACAACCTAAGTAAATATATTTTCAATGGCAACTGTTTGAACCCACTAACTAGTCAGTTTAAAATCATTTGGAAACCGGGTTTGTGATCTAAGGGAATTTAAAGTTGCTGACATAGAGTCTTTTTCAGAACTGAGAAACGTCACCATTCATCCTTTGGAAACTGGAATGGCTTCATGTCCCTCACATTTTCCACCGTGCTGGCCTGGCTGTTTATTTATTAATGATTTCCATCATGAAACCATTGTTATCTCAGCTTCCTCTGATGGCCAAAAAGCGCACAAAATCATCATATTCCACCAAGAGCACAAAGCATCCAAATGCCTGTGCTTCCCGCGACATTACCATTTTATTAATAGCCATTCTGCCAATCCGTTTATAATGGCCTTTTCAGTTAGACATGCACACAGTCGTGTAGCACTTGCCGCATTTTTACCAGTATAAATATGAAAATCTCTGACAGATTGCTAATGAGCTGCTGTTGGAATTACAGAGTAGTCTGTTATCATTTGTCCATTCACAGTTTCCTCACCAGCCCATCTGTGCTCGGAACGCAGCCACCGCGGCGCGTGCAGGCTGGGACAGTTTCTCCATTTACACCTTTTGCCTTCGGAGGCCTCTGGGAAAGCCTGTCCCTAATTAAAGATTTTAACAAACATATTGCCAGCTTTCTAACACTGTTATTAAACTGCTCTCTTTTGTTAGAAAAGGTGCTGTTTGTCAGCAGTTTGTAGATTTAGATATTTAGTGTGTTGTTTCTGGAGCCCAGCAAAATATTTGTGTTTTTAGAATAATTCAATTAGTATGTTGTGCATGTACCTACCTGTATGCACAATAAATACACATGGCACACAGGCAATCAAAACCCTGTGTAATTATTCAGACTCACAAAGACAAAGAAAGAATCACGGTGTTCCTGTGGACACAAAGACTTCTCCACAGAACAAGGTAGATTTGAGCATTCTAAGGTTGGGACTATTAAAACAAAATGATCAGATTGAGATCATGGCTCAGGTAATTTGGGGCAAGGGCAAAGTACCTTTCAACTGAAATACTGGTATAATTAAGGTGCATTGAAAAGGAATCTGATTTACCTGGTAGAATATGCCTCGCCGAGAGAACAGTGTTCCCTTACCATAAAGGTGTCACTACTGAGCCATGGTTCGCAGTCAAGTGTGGGTGTGGTTGGGGCCAGGTGGGGAAGGGGGGCTTCCAGGTGGCTGCACCAGACCTCTGAGGGAAGGAGAGAGATACCAGAGCTGGAGCCTGCTGCTGGAGGAAAGGCTCTCCAGTCACTCTTCCTGGGAATGGGTTCATCTTCACTCTCCCCAGCGTGAGCACACAAAGGGGTGGCCCCTCCGGTAGTAAGCCATGGAAGGTTTTCCAGACTAAAGTGACACTTTAGAAAACCCGATAGAGCCTGAGGTCTTCACTATCAAGACAGGAATTATAAATAACTCCCAGGGCTTCATCACCTTGGAGATCAGAAGGTGGCTCTGAATGCTGCCTGGGAGACATTTCCGCCAGTGACATCATGGCACTGAGGGACTCTGAGATGCATCTTCCAGTGGGGAAGCTTTGTGGCCACTTATTGCGTTGAAATTTTAATGTAGGCTTTGATACTTTGATTTACTTCTTGAATTAAATACCAGCAAGTCTGAGGGAGACGCCACTAATCATACAGCATGATCCTTGTTCTGAAGGAATTTGCACACTCGAGAGATAATACACATACATAAAAACCATGCGCTCTGCCTGACACCACAGGGTGGCCAATGCAAGAGCCAGATGACTGGCGAAGGTGCAGGGGAGTTCAAGGCCAGAGACATCACTTCTACAGAGGATGGGGTAGGAAGGTCTCCTGGAGGAGGTAGAACCAACACCAAATTGGGAAAAATGTAGGATGTGGTTGAGAGAGGGGGACAGGGCATGGTGAGCTGGGAAGGTGCTGGGAAAGGAAAAGGAACATTTGGAGGACCTTAAATAGGCTGCTTTGGCTAGAGCAGAGGTTTGTGATGGGATATTGAGAAAGCAAGGTTTCAAGGGCCATGCTGTCAAGGCTACAGATCTGTTCTTCATCTTTTTTTTTTTTTTTTTTTTTTTTTGAGACGAGTCTCACTCAGTTGTCCTGAGTAGCGTGCCATGGCGTCAGCCTGGCTCACTGCAACCTCAAACTCCTGGGCTCAAGCTATCCTCCTGCCTCAGCCTTCTAAGTAGCTGGGACTACAGATGCACACCACAATGCCCAGCTAATTTTTTATATTTTCAGTAGAGACAGGGTCTCACTCTTGCTCAGGCTGGTCTTGAATTCCTGACCTCAAGTGATCTTCCCAACTCAGCCTCCCAGAGTGCTAGCATTACAGGCGTGAGCCACCGTGCCCTGCCAGCTGTAGGTTTTTTGTAAATACTCTTTATCAAGTTGAGGAAATTACCCTCTATTCCTAGTTTGTGAAGAGGCTTTTTTTTCCATCATAGATTAGTATTGGATTTTGTCAAATGCTTTATCTACATCTATTGACATGATCATGTAATTTTCTTCTTTAGCCTGTTGGTGTGATGGATTATATTAACTGATTTTCAAATGTTGAACCAGCCTTGCATACCTGGGATCAATCTCACTTGATCATGGTATATAATTCTTTTTATACATTGTTGGATTCAATTTGCTAATATTTTGTTGAGGATTTTTGCATCTATGTACATGAGAGATTTTGGTCTGCAGTTTTCTTGTAATGTTTTTATCTGGTTTTGGCAGTAGGGTAATGCTGGCCTTATAAAATGAGTCAAGAGGTATTTTTTCTGCTTCTATCTTCTGAAAGAGATTGTAGACAATTGGTATAATTTCTTCCTCAAATGTTTGTTAGAATTCACTAGTGAACCCATTGGGTCTGGTGCTTTCTGTTTAAGTAAGTTATTTATTATTGATTCAATTCCTTCAGTAAGTGCAGCCCTATTCAGATTGTCTTTTTCTTCTCATGTGAGTTCTGACAGATTGTATCTTTCAAAGAATTATTATATTTCATGTAGGTAAACAAATTTATGGGCATAGAGTACTTAATAGTATAATAGTATTTTTTATTATCCTTTTAATGTCTAAGGAATCTGTAGTGATGTTCCCCTTTTCATTTATTATATTAGTAATTTATGTCCTATCTTTTTGTTTTCTTAGTTAGCCTTGTTCTGGCCAGGCTCATTGATTTTATTGATCTTTTTAAAGAACTAGTTTTTGGTTTTGTTGATTTTCTCTATTGATATCTTATTTTCAATTTCATTGATTTCTACTCTAGTTTTTACTATTTCTTTTTTTTTCTGTTTATTTTGGATTTAATTTGCTCTTCTTTTTCTAGTCTCCTAAAATGGATGCTTAGCTGATTGATTTTAGGTTCTTCTTCTTTTCTAATATCTGCATTCAAAGCTATAAATTTCCCTATAAGCACTGCTTTCACTACCTCTCACAAATTTGACTAAGTTATATTTTCATTTTTATTTTATTTCATTTTATTTTATCTCATTTCATTAAAATATTTTTAAATTTCTCTTGAGATTATTTCTTTGACCCATGATTTTTTTAGGAGTGTGTTGTTTAATCTCCAAGTACCAGAGATTCTTTCCTTAGCTGTGTCCAATCTACTGAGCCCATCAATGACCTTCTTCATTTCTATTAGAGTGTTTGTTCTTTAGCATTTCTCTTTGATCCTTCTTAGGGCTTCTGTCTCTCTATTTATCCATCTGTTCTTGCATGTTATCTACTTTTTTCCATTAGCTCCCTTAGCACATTAATAATAGTTGTTTTAAATTCATAGTCCAATTATTTCAACAGTCCTGCCATATCTGAGCCAGGTTATGATGCTTGCTCTGTCTCTTTAGTGTTTTGGATTTTTTTTTTTTTTTGGCCTTTCAGTTTGCCTTGTAATCAATTTCTTTCTTTCTTTCTTTCTTTCTTTCTTTCTTTCTTTCTTTCTTTCTTTCTTTCTTTCTTTCTTTCTTTCTGTTTTCTTTTTTTCTTTTTGGAAATCTGGACATGACATACTAGGTGAGAGGAACTACAGTAAATAGGCCTTTAATGATGAGGTAACGAGGTGTTGGGGGTGGTAACATGTCCAGGGTATGAATGACTAAGCACTCCATAGTCCTGTGATTATGTCTCAGTCTTTAGTGAGCCTATGCCTCTAGTGACTCTAGGTTGTGAACTTCACATACGGTTCTCAGTTTCTCCCCCACCTTAGGCGGGACAGGTTGGCTAGAGGGGGCTGGAGTTGGATATTTCCCATTCCTGGGTTGGTTAATCTGTCAAAACCCCAATAAGTTCGGCTCTGGTAAAACAGTTCTTCTTGAGGGCAGGCCTTGTTAAGGAGAACAGAATGCGCTGGCGTATTTCAAGATAGCCAGAGCATGAGGAGATTTTTCTCCAGTCTTCACTGTGAGAACATGGGAGAGCTCCAGGAAATAAAATTCATAAAAGTGTAGACAGAGTTTTTAACTCACAGACTTGTCCACATCGAGCTTTTAGCAATTAATCAAATACAGTTCATGTTTCCTACCTCAGTACTTGTTTCTGTGGAGGTTTCTGCTCAAAGTGAGTTGTGATTCTCTGTTTCTCTGATTTTGATGGCAGTGGTTTGCCCTGTGAGACAGATCTAAGAAGAGTTGTTTATTTTTCAGCTTGTTCAGCTTTTTACTTGTTATTAGGCTAGAGTGGCTACTTCTAAGCTCTTTACATGCCAGATAGGAAACCAGAAGTCTGTACTTTATTTTTCAGGCAACATGGAGTGATCAAAGAAGAATGAGTAAGTAGGTTGGTTAACTGGGGGGTGGGTTAGATTTTAACAGGAAGATAGTATGATTAAAAGTTATTGTGTAATGCATTTTGGAGCCTAGGCAGCTAAGGCGCTTCTACTGTCTTGCCTGGTCTCACAAGTCTGGAGGTTGGCTGGTTGTCAGCTAACCATAGATGGCCAAGACTGGGACAACTGGGATGACTTGGAGCTGATCAATAGGTCTTTCATCCTCGCATAGGCTTGCCTGGACATGTTTTCCTTCACAGCCAGGAGAGAGAACAAGAGTGTAAACAGAAATGTGCAAGCATTTCTTTAAGCTTTGATTTGTATCACATCTGATATCATCCTATTAGCCAAAGCAAGCCACATGGCTGAGCTCAGAATCAAGGGGTGGGAAAAAGGATTCTACCTTCTCTTAAGAAGAGAATAGCAAATTCACATGGCAAAAGGCAAGGACACAGGAAGGGGTGAAGAATTTGGGACATAAATGCTAGCAGTCTACCACATCTTGATTCAAATCCCAGCTCCTCTAGCTGTGTAACCATGAGCAGGGTACCTGAAAATTGGCATAAAAAGAGTGCCTACCTCTTAGCATCATTGCTTGCATCAAATGAAATGACCTGTGTAAAATACTTAGCATAGTACCCAGCTCACATAGGTAACTATAGGCCACAGGCACTGTGTCGGCTGCATGGCAGTGGCAGAAAGGTGAGTTGGGATACTTACGGGGATTGTAGGTCTGTACGAGGGTGATGTTGATATGCTATTCAGGACAAGTTAGAAATCCACATTCGGAAACAGCCTGAAATACAATAGTGTGACCAAAAATGAAAAGGCCTGGCCATATTTGGGAGGAAAAACAAAGGATGAATCTTCAGGAATAGGTGTCCACAGGCCTGGGCAATTAGGACAACAGTGGTGTCATTGATGGAAGCAAGGAGAGTCAGGAACATTGCTGGCTTAGGGACAGATGGCTAAACGTCCACTCCATCTGGATCTCTAGCCTAGTCTCTGGGCATTTCATGAAAAGGATGAGACAGAGTGTTCAATGACTCTTCTCAGCATGGCACAAAACAGGGTATTTAATAATCATCTAAACCAGAGTTTTCATTTGGAAAATTTGCTGTTGCTTACCATTTTTTCTATATTAGAGATGATCATTCTAATAAAAAGTCTTGGAGAAAAGACTCCCCATTAGCCTGGTTTCCAGGGAAGACATTTATCCAGGGCTCTGTGACATGCTTGGCCACAGTCCCAGGGGAGAGGTGATTATTATTATAATTATTAAAAATAACATTATATTATTATTCTTATAAAGTAACAAACCTGGGCTACAAGGGGCCAGAGGTCCGAGTGATGGAGGGGTTTTTACCCAATCTCATGGCTTCTGTTTTTACAACGTTCGGTCTAATGGGGGTTCATTCTCTCGCACTAGAAGAATCCCAAGATGCAACCCCAAGGAAGACTCTCCTGGCCCCATTAGCTTAAGCAACTGCCAGACAAACAAAATAGCAAATTTCCCATGTAGAATGATTTAGTGCAGAGAGACTCGGAAAAATAATGAAGGCATTTGTTTATGCCTGCTTACAACATTCCTTGTAGGCAAAAGGGGGAAGAAAACATCATTCTAAGCCTGCAAAGGCAGCCAGCCAGTGCAGGCTCATCAAAAATATGCATTTGCTTTTGTAGTCAAAAAGTGTGAGTTTGCTCTGCTTCACCTCCTGGCCTGGGCTTCTATGATATCCATGTAATTTAAATGAAAAAGTCGTCCTAGGGAGTCATCACATTTCAAAGAAGTGACCCTTTTTGGATGTTGAAAGGGTTCCCAGTGTTTGGGTTCACCCCCAGGTGAGGTGGTGTTACAGAGTTCTTGAGATGTCACCCAGAGAAGCAGACCTTGGAAAGTCTAAACAGAAGTTGTTTACCTTATCTCTTTGCTTGTTGTGCAAATGGGACTCAGCTTTGTAAAGAAAACAAGCACAATTCAAGCTCAGTCTGAGTCACAATTCACCATTGCTGTCAGTCAAACCCTAACAAAAGAGGAGTTTTTGTTCATTCTTGGAGTGGCCTGTCTGCCACCATGAACTTGGTAGCTAAGATGCCCATAGCATCCTCCAAACTGATCTCAAGCTGGTTGGACTCAGCGTGAAGGGGCAACTTGGGTGAGGCACTTCACTCCCTGTTCTTTCTCTTAAGGGACTGGTTCTTCTGTGTTCCCCCATTTACACCCATCCCCCCAAAGGAACCCCTGATCTTCCTGGAAACAGAAACACTCAGGCAACCATGCCAGTCACAGTGTCATGTTTCAAGCTGCATTTAGACATGGATTTCCAACCTGTCCTGAACCTCATACATCTTTACCCCACCCTAGAGCCACTACTTTCCCAGCATGCCCTACTGGCCCATTATGAGTGAGGTCTGTTAAGAAAAGGGCCGCCAGAGTCACTCTCCAGATAACCAAACTAAAAAAGACCCCTTCTCCATGTAGTGTTCAGCCTCCAGGAACTATTTTTGTGGCACAGAGCTTTATGTGCTTTCTCAACTACTCGACTGCAAATACTTTCTCCCTTTCACCTGCCAAATTAGGTTGAAAGAGAGGGTGCCTGGCTCCTGGATACTAGGAAGGTGTTAAATATCTCCGCTGCTAGAAATCCAGCTAGAGACATTAACACCTACCTCCTGGCTCAAGAGTGGGTGTTAATGTTTCTGCTGCCAGGACATCCTTCATCCAGGGCCTTTCCTCTAGCCAGCGCTCAGCGGGGGCCAGGGCCAGGGAAAGCAAGTCAAACCAGACTGTCCTGACAGTGGCAATCCTCGGTGGGTGAGCACTACACCAACAATCCCATCTTTTTAATCATTTCCAAAGTGCTTCCAAGCAGAAGAAAGTTCCAAAGACCAAGAATATACAGTTCATAGAAAATGCTGCTTTTACTAATAATAAACTTACATAGCATTTCTAATTTACCAAAGCACTTTCACATCAAAATAACACAAATCTTTTCTTGAAGGTTTACTTAGTATACTTAATTCTTAACCACAACCCTGAGAGGCAGATATTGTTGTTCTCATTTTAGAGATGACTTAATAGGTTCAGAGAGGGTAAACAGTGGGCACCCATCACACTGCCTTCTGTGTGGCTCCCAAGTCCCTTAACCACAGCTCCCTACTGGATTGCAGGATCCTGACAATAACCTTGTGAGAGTGCTCGGGCAGGTGCTATTTTAAAGACCATAAGTTGGGGTATTTTGACCAAGAACAAAAAGTAGAAGATGTTGGTTCAAGCCCAAGTCCAACTGAGTCTCAGACTAATGTACTTTCTACCAGACCAACACAGCCAATAATCACTCTGAAAGCATGATGTTTTCCCTAAGCCTGGATCACTCACCTATTCATTCTTCCAGACAACATATATTTTCTGAAATCTTACCATGCATCAAGCACTGTGTTGGGTGTGAAATGTCAAATAAATAAGGAATCAGAAATAGAGCACTTGCCCTTGAGTTGCTTATATCTGACAGAAGGCACATGGGCAGGCATAAAGGCAACTCTAACACAGGTCAGAAGAGCAGTACTGCCATTTCTATGATTTTCAGGTGATGGTTAGTAAAGTTAGAAGGGGGTTGAGATTTATTACCCACCAGGAAAATATATCCTTGTCTGAGGATATGTCACACATATCCTTATATGTGGAAGGGACCTACTCACTAAGCTGGTCTCTGCACTCCAGTATCTCACTGAAAACCCATGAGGATTTCTAGATCTACAAAATCCAAAGTATTTTATCACAAAAAGTAGAGTAGCTTGCAAATGGTTACTAGTTTTAGTAAAACTAGTTGTACCCTAGGTACCCAAATAGTTGATGAAGGAAAATTTCTTCATGAAAGTAGTCTAACTAAAACAATGGGAATGAGATGACAGAATTATCACCATTTTGCAATTTTGTTTTGTTTTGTTTTGTTTTGTTTTTGAGACAGAGTCTTACTCTGTTGCCCAGGCTAGAGTGCTGTGGCATCATCATAGCTCACAGCAACCTCAAACTCCTGGGCTCAAGCCATGCTCCTGCCTCAGCCTCCCAAGTAGCTGGGACTACAGAGTGTGCACCACCATGCCCAGCTAATTTTTTCTATTTTCAGTAAAGATGGGTCTCACTCTTGCTGAGGCTGGTCTTGAACTCCTGAACTCAAGTGATCCTTTCACCTCAGTCTCCCTGATTGCTAGGATTACAGGCATGAGCCAACGTGCCTGGCCGGTTTTGCAATTCTTGATAAAATAATGGATTTAAGCTATGGTAGACAACTCTTGCTAACATCACAAAAAAAGACCCCAAAAAAGAGATAGATATTGTGTGCCTCCTCATGGAAGAACACAATACCACTTAGGAAGCAGTCTTGCCAAAAAATACAAAACTGAACTTAATCAAGATTTTAGATCTAACTACTGGCCCCCAAAAAATACAGGGGACAGAGAAATATATTAAATGGTACCACAAGATGCAATTAGTAACATCCAGTATGCGGGAAACTCTACCAGACAAATGAATGCTTTTCTATAACAAATAAATTACAATGGGGGAAAAATACTGGGAAGGGGAGCCTATAGAAGAAGAGATGTACCACCCAATGCAATAGGTGGACCTTCTCTGAATCTTGATTCAAACAAACCAAATGTAAGGTGTATATGTGTGCTGAGGCCTTGCACATAATGCATATCTAAACATCCTGCTGACTCCTGACCATTTAGAATTATCTATTACATGGCCATTTGAAACCCCAACCAACCAATCAACCGACTAAAACTTTTAAATTGCTTTTCTTGCATTACTTAGATTTTAAAACATGGGGGGAGGGAAGAGGGGTTTGGGGAAAGATATATCTTTCTTAGGCTATTTTTTAACAGTTGTATGCAACCTTTAAATTATAATTGCATATTTGTAATTTCCAGTAAGCTAATAAAAGTTATAGTCATTTTATAAAAAACAAACAAAACAAACAAAAACAGTCATATATTATGTGCTTCGGGAAAAAATGCTCCTTGTATGGAAGTCACTCTTTATTATTTTTACAGTGAAAAATTCCTTTATAAAGTAGGGAGTTTGAGTTTGGGTTTGCCTACAGTTTGAGCTTAGCATCTCAAGGGGGGCTCGCCTGTGGATCGTCAGGGACCAAGTCCACCCTTGTCCTTCCCCCCTGCTATCCCACACTAGGAGACCAGAGGGTTCTTGTTATCACTCTCGACTCCTGCAGACATATGTGTTTGACTTGAAAACCTCCCAGTCTCTTACGTTGCCCAATGGCTCTAAGACAGGCCCTGCCAGGGCTGGGTCTTCTAGAGAGGCCCCTCAGTTTGGAAAGAAGCCCCCCAGATAAAAGCAAGTGCTCACAGGACAATAGTACGGTAGTGCTTCACTGCAAAGCGCTTTTCATCCTTGAGCACTTAAGGGGGTAACCTTAATGAGCACAAAATATTCATCTCTAATAAGAACATGCTGTCATAATCACCCTCCATGTGATAAATATCCTAGAGGTTTTCTCTTTGTTAGGTTAATGCTTTTCCACAAGATAATTTAACCAATTCTCTAAAAAATAATCACACCTTATCAGGCCCCAATATAGTAATATGGTGTTGTTCTTTGTTGTTTTTTTTTTTTTTAATGTTTTGAATCTTGCCTTAAACAAATCTCATCCAAATAAATGCTCCCTTTTTTAGTTGGCACCAAAGCTTGTGCTGTTCATTGTAATCAAGCTCCCAGTTGGCTAACTCCTCATCTAACAGTATGTTTTCTGATTTCATTTGAGCAAAATT